GGGTAAAACGCTTGCCGGTAAAAACGACAACATATTTAATCAGAAGTGCCTTTCATTTAGACTGTGACGGTATTTTTGAGGCTTAAAATGCAAAAATCTGAAACCACCCTCCAGAGTGGAAAAGTTGAATATGCTCTGCCGTATACACTGTCTACACTGCCCAAGAATAAAAACTGAAGATGCGATGCCACTTTTGTATCTTCTGCTCAGACCCTCATCGTATAAACGTAGCCTGAGAAAGTCCATTTTTCTAGGTATTTTTGAGCTGTAAACCCACCAAAGTAGAGCTGTTTAATGTCATACTGTGGAACATTCCAGGCAGAGCAATATCTTCATAGGAACAAACAGGTGGCGGACACCGAAAGAAAAAGTTACACATTGCACCGTGAAAACAAAATCAAATAAGACCAAACTGATCCAAATGTGTTAAGTAACTTATTTATCTATATTCATATAGAAATTTGATAATACACTTTTTGAATTGAATTGAATGAATAAAAGGATGTATAGTAAAACTCTGTTACAATTGGGATTAGAATTATAATTTATGTAACTAGTAGGGATGTAACGATATCCAAATTTCACAGTACCATATTTTCACCACATACATTTCATCATACAGGATTTATTGCAATATTTTGTGGAGGCTAACCAAATTGTGAATATGCTACTTTTTCCTCATAAAATGCCTTGACAAGACTTAATTCAAAGAAGTAAAAGTGTTTAGAACTGTTATTTCTTTGCACCAAAATGGAGCAAAGGATCATGGTTGATGTTCTGTTTTTTCTAGCTATTGCTGCACCATAACAATGAATTTATGCAAAGAAACTTGTGATTCGATATATTGTGACAGCCCACGATATTATTGAGAGACATTTGACGATACAATATCATGATATTTTTGTTTCTGTTACACCCTTAGTAACTAGGATTCTTTTCAGCAATGTTCTAAAGTTATTCCTGACTTAACATTTTTTAACTTCCCCCCCGAGGATACTACACACACTTAACTTATTTGCAATTCTCAAATTAACGAGTAATAATACAGGTCAGCAGTAAATCACCCGAATAGCCTGTCTGTCCCCCCCGTGCACAGACACACACGCACGCACGCACACGCATGCACACACGTACGCATATGCATACACACGCACATACACACGCACATACACACGCACATACACACGCACACACACACGCACATACACGCACACAGTGTTGCACATACACACGCACACACACACGCACATACGCATGCCGAGTGTTGGAAAGGTTACTTTTAAAATTTATTCCCCTATAGATTACAAAATGTAGTTTGTAACATAATCCATTAATTTACTTAAAGTGAGTAATGTAATCTGAATACTTTGGATTATTTGGTTTGCTGTAGAGAAGCAAAGACGGGGAAATCTTCACATAAAATGTTTTGCCGGCTAAAAGAAAATAAAAAACCCAGACTTTACTTAACCAAATTAAAAATAGTGTTGATAGAAGAGGAGGAGACATGGTCCAGACAGCATGGTTTAGTCCTGGTTTAGATCTAGTTTAGTCACTGTTTAGTCCTAGTTTGGACCTGGGTTTAGTCCTGGTTTAGACCTGGTTTAGTCCTGGTTTAGACCTGGTTTTAGACCTGGTTTAGTCCTGGTTTAGACCTGGTTTAGTCCTGGTTTAGACCTGGTTTAGACCTGGTTTAGACCTGGTTTAGTCCTGGTTTAGACCTGGTTTTAGTCCTGGTTTAGACCTGGTTTTAGACCTGGTTTAGACCTGGTTTAGTCCTGGTTTAGTCCTGGTTTAGGTTTAGACCTGGTTTTAGACCTGGTTTAGTGTCCAGCAATGAGTGGAATTACCAAAAACAAAAATAATAATAAAGTAATCCAATTACCACTAACTGAATCAGTAACTGTAACCGAATACAGTTAATCATAATTTGTACTCTGATTATGTAACTCTGGTACATGTAATCTGTTACTCCCCAACACTGCACACGCCGCATATGCACGCACACGCACATACACACATAATGTCCACACTGTCACCAGCCGTCACCTTTGTCCCTATTTGTATGTAATCTTCATAATCATAATCATAATCATAATCTTAATGTCTTGTACCTTGTATGTTGTTTAAACTTTGTAATTATTCATCACAAAGAGTTTATAAGCACTTTTCACAACTCTTAGAAACCAGAACGGCTAAGTCTTACAAAACAAACTATTAAGCGCTTTGAGGATTTAAACGTTTTAAAATGTTTAGGTTGTGAATATAGAAAAGAATCCCTACAAAATCCAACCTTTGTGAAAGTTGTGGATGCCCTGTCAGCCGAACACGCACAGTTTGAACTCTCAAAATGCATTGCACTCTATGGGAGAATTCTTTCTGGGCCTAAGCTGCAGTACCTGGAGCGGCCACTAGCAGGTTTCGAGCAGAGTGAGAATGCCTTATCCAGTTTTTATTAAAGATCCATGAGTAATCCTAACAAGAACTAGCATGCTAACCCACACTTCCTGATGATTGCGCAATAACATTCTTCGTGACTAGGTGCAGATTTCTTTTGACCTCAAGAGCTGCTTATACAACATCTGCACTGGGGCAATGGGTACATGGGAAAAAACCTTGGAAACATGATATAACACTTGATACATGAGTTACATTTTTATATGAGTTTGTTGTACTTTGGAATGCACAAGAATGTTTCCCAATTTTAATGAGTTACAACCACTGACATTTTTTTTAGATGGCTTGAATTTTCTACCCAGAGATATCACAAATTTGACTGTTGTGGTTTCCGAGTTTGAATGTAATTTCGACGTAATTAAAGGTACCCAGCCCGGCGACAAGTCTGTTCTGCTGCTTCCTTTCCTATAACACTGTACCATTATAGTTTTTACGACTTCGTGTTAATGATGCCTTCGCTGGCGTGTATTATTATGATATTTTTATTGGCAAACACAATCTGTTTTTCACTTATGCAAGCTTAAAGGTCTGGAATGTTTCACAGTATGGTAGTAATCCTTCCTATTGTTACGGAAACCAGAGTGGGATCTGGCGAGATATCAACATTTTAGGCATGTCAGATTTTGGCCCCAAACTGCCTTCAAATTACAAACAATGCTCTAATACTGGGGTCTCCAACCTGTTGCTCGGGAGCTACTGGGAGATCTCCGCCCCCTTCCAAAGAAGAAGCTCGCCAAGGGATTTCTGAATTACACATATTGTGCTGAATAAGTCAAACTTGATTAATAAAATGCCTGTTTCCATTATGCATGTGTCATTTTGATGCCTAACTTTGTGCCTTACTATGGATAATGGTTTATGTTTTATAGCCATCTAACCGTACCCTATCTGCTGTATTTTCTGGATTATAGGGCGCACTCTTAAACCTCCAGCCCCATCAAAAAACGACTGCGCGCCCCACAATCCAGAGCGCCCTATATAGGAATCTACCAGCACGACTTCAGTAAACTACAAAGCTGCAGCACCCGCAGCGCACGCAAACACACACGGAGCAGACAGCGAGCGCACAGCCAAAAACACCCACAGACACACTCATCACTCCACGCCGACGGGGAACGGAACAGATGAACGAATAGAAAAAGCGAGTGCAATGTGCCACTTCTAGACAAAACTGAACAACTGAGTCACTGCGAACACGCCGACAATCCAGCGGTCCCAGACAGCACCCTCCCTACACGCCACAACTGAACAAAGCCCAGAGTCACCGTGAACGCACCAAACAAAGTCCCACTGACCCATCCAACTGTTGTGTTTAATTTAAAGTCCGGTGCGGTTTATTTGTGAAAAAAGTTTGAAAATAGACCATTTAATGACAGTGAGCCTTATAATCCAGAGCGCCTAATAGCCCGGAAAATACAGTAATTCTTACCCTGGCTCGTATATTTACTCAGTTTCTCATGACTGCTAAAACTTGCAGCTTTCTGGCATTTTCGTTTTGTAAAAGTTCCTCACTGGAGTAAAAAGGTTGGAGACTCCTGCTCTAATATTTACATCTGGGGTGGTCTGAGGTTGTTTGGAGACGTTTCCAGTAAGTTTTGAGCAATTTCAAAATTTGGTCAAAATTGAACCAAAACGGCAGGGCTGGACCTGACGAAAAATCTAATTTTTTTTGCCCATGTCAGGTTTTGGCCCCAAACTGTCTTCAAGTGACAAAAAAATGTGTAATATTTACATCTGGGGTGGTCTGAATTTGTTTGGAGACGTTTCCAGCAAGTTTTGAGCAATTTCAAAATGTGGTCAAATTTGAGTCCGAACGATAGGGCCGGACCTGAAGAAAAATCCTTTTTTTTTTTTTTTTTCTGTCCATGTCAGGTTTTGGCCTCAAACTGTCTTCAAGTGACAAAAAATTGTGCAATATTTACATCTGGGGTGGTCTGAGGTTGTTTGGAGGCATTTCCAGCAAGTTTTGATCAATTTCAAAATTTGGTCAAATTTGATCCAAAACGAAATGGTCAAACCTGGCAAACTAGACCAAGTTACAGGTTAGATCTGTGGAGAGGGGACAACGCTCACAGTCAGAATGTCTGAGCTGTAAAACTAACTATAATTGAATAAATGTAAGGTTGAGCTGTTTAATGTCACACTGTTAAACATTCCAAGCAAAGCAATGACATATCCATAGAAACAAGCAGCCCTCTACCAAAAAGTTAGACAGTGCCACTTTCAGTTTTCGGTTTCAGTTTGTTTGAAAATGTCAGAAGTTTTATAAAAAGACGCAAGACAACTGCAGATTTATGTTTTGAAAAACAGCTAAAAATACATCTCCAGATCTGTTTTTAGCTCAGAGGTGTGTCAAAAACAAAAGAAGACAAGTTTACAGTGGTGCAGACAAAGATATGAGGGAGGAAACAAGATCTATAATAGAGAGCTAATTGTTCCAAGGGTGTCACCCATTTTGTACACGTGCAGTTCTTATGTTGGCTTATGATTTGTTGGAATGCATTTGGTATGTGACCTTTATAATCGTGGTTTATTTTCTCTTCCAGGTATGGCAAAATCGTGTCAACCAAGGCCATCTTAGATAAAACGACCAATAAGTGTAAAGGTGAGTGTTGGTGTTTTGAATAGTGGTCTTTTTTATTTTATTTTTTTTATTTTTAGATTTAAAGCAGGCATGTCCAAACTATGGGGGCCAAATGCGGCCCTCAGACAAATTTTTCTTGGCCCTCAGACTTCCAGGTGAATTGGCCCAAATTACCTTGCATCAATTAAAAAATATTTTTTTACTGCAAGTTTTTTTTTGAAAATCTACTTTAATAAAGCTAAATATTAAATATTAGTGTGTGTTTTAAGGATCTTAGCATGAATAAAGACTGATGGCTCATTCTAACAAGTTAAACATGCACATATTTCAATTATTCACTGTACTGAGCACCAGTCTATGGCCCTCGATCGGCCTCTGCTCTGTCTGTGTTTAGAGATGTGGACACCCCTGATTTAAAGCTTTATAACATTGTTCCCTCATCAGAAACATGCCTGAAGAGGTTTTAGATGTCATCCATGCATGCTTGGGTAATCTAGCGATCGCTCTCAGACACTATTTAAACACTTTTTATGATTCTGTCCAAGGCTCCACCTACAAGTCGACGTCACCCGCGCTCCCATTTGACAATTCTACAGAAATATGCAAAAACATAATACAAAACACAAAATACACTATAACTTCACAAACCTGATGCAATGTGCAGTGTTCAGGGTTCCCATGGTCATGAAAATACTGGAAATGTCATGAAAATTTAAAATGTCATATTCCAGGCCTGGAAATGTCATGGAATTTTAGTATCTCATTTACTCAACTACAGTGTTCTGTTAAGTTCTCATTATTAGACTATTATGATTCTTTCTGAACGTTTGCACCTTTTGTTTAAAAGAGGCGACACTAAATGCACTGACAGGATTTTGAATGTTCAAAAACTGTAATCCCAAACCATAAGGTGAATGGAAAGGGTTAACATTTCAGTTTTACACATGTAGGTGTCGTAAGTCATGGAAAATTCACTTTAGGTCATGAAAAAGTCATGGAAAAAATGTTGTCAGTGAAAAAGAGTGAGAACACTGATAGTTTGATGCAGTCGCCGATTGGAATGCGATAGCGCAATGAAAGGGGAGTGATTTAGTGCGAAGAGCAAAGAGAGAAAGGGACTCAGAGCATCAAAAATGAAACTGAAACTTATTAAAGATCCTGTATTACACAACTTGTGAGCTTTAAGCCATGTTATACTGTTGTTACCTCCTCAAAAACATACCTGGAGTCATCTTCAAAACTCAAAATGCTCAATTCCAAGTTGTGATGTCATGTAGTGGTAACCTTCACATTAACAGCTTTATTTTAGGCCCCATCCATACTAGTAGGTATTCGAGTTGTTTTCATTGTTGATGCAGCGTTCGTTCACACTAATCTGATTGAAAACGGCTTCAGAGACAGAACGATCTGGTGCCACCAGCTCCCACGAATTCATCTGAGTACAGATCTGATCTGGTACTGTGTGGACGCCTGAAAACACAGATACTCTGATGTAGGTCTATGCGCCGCAAAGTAATTCACCGCCAAAACACCAAGAGGCTAGAATATCTGTCCATTCCTATACACGGTCTGCGTGTACGGCCTGCAGACAAATAATCTCTGAAAAGTTTAACATGAACCATCTCCAACACGACAGAAACACAGAACAGACTCACCATCAGCAGAACATCCCTCTGTCACAGAAAGAACACTCATATTCCACTGAGTCATGTCCTTTATCCTGACAAAAGCTGAACCACATCAGTGCACAATGTTTTTTGAGAGAGATTTGTTTCAGTGTAAACGTAGTCTTAGTTTTTCAAAGATTGGCAATTTCAGATCTGAAATTATTCAAATGATTTAAGTAAAGGTGTATGGAGTTTAAAATCACAGTGTAGCCCATCTTGTATTACCACATGACATCACAATGTGGAACAGAGTGTTTTCTGTTTGAGAGAAGAACTCAGCCTAAATATGCAGAGTTTGTGTGTTATATTTTGATGAGGAAATAACATAGATCAGAAAACAGCGTAATATATAGACACTTAAACATGTTAATACATTGATTTCGATCAAGATAGCATTTTCAAAACAACAAAAGGTAACATGGTGATCTAAATATGTTTTGTGTTAGCAGTTAAAACCCCACAAAAGTGTAATGTGTCCTTTTTAATGTGAGTTCTGTTGTATTTTTCGTAGGTTATGGCTTTGTGGATTTCGACAGTCCGGCGGCGGCGCAGAAAGCCGTCACAGCGCTCAAGTCCAGCGGGGTCCAAGCTCAGATGGCCAAAGTACGTTACCCGCACACAAACAGCTGCTATGCTCAAATACACAGACTCCTTTATTTAATATTTCATAATCGAACAAATGACCAGCATCGTTATTCATTCAAAACAGCGCTCGTCCAAAAACTTGAAGGTCGGCTGTTCAAAACCCTGCATGCTTCTGTAGTGTCCTTGGGCGAGACGCTTCCATCGCTTTGGCCTGTGTGTTTGTGGTGTGTGGTTGGTTGTGGTTGGAGGGGCTGATGACGCAGATTGGCAGCCTTTAATTCATCAGGGCAGCTATGACTCCTTAAACTGTGCAAGCTGCAAATAAAAGCCTTCAGTGGATGTGGGATGTTTATTGCTGCGGGGAAAATGTTCAAAATGGCAGAAAATGAATCGATGTCTATGAAAAACGGTTTGAGCTTTCAGTTTCCTCTTCTGCAGTTTGGTCGTACTATACAGATCATGTACCAGCACCTGAAAGTTGCACAGTTATGGACGACACTAGGTCAGTTGGTCGAGCATTTGTCCGCTGATCAGAAGGTCTGCGGTTTGAATCCCACTTCAAATCCTGCATAAATATCATTGGTTGAGCGGGCAGATCTACTAACCCACAGTCTGTGATTCTAACTCCCAGATATGAATGCTGTCATTGTGTCCTTGGGCAAGACACTTAACCCGCCTCGCCCCCAGTGTCTGTGTGAGTGTGTGTGTGAATGGGTGGGTGGTTCTTTGTTGTAAACCGCTTTGATCCTTGAAGCTGGAAAAGTGCTGTATAAAAATGTGACCATTTACTAGAGATGTAACGATCTTCAAATATCTCAGTACGATATTATCACGATATTTATTGTGATATTTTGGAGAGGCTGATATAATTGTAGATAGGAGACTTTTTTGCTTTTAAAATGCATTGACAAGATTTTGGTGTGAATTACTTCCGTGATAATCTCAAGAATTCAAGTAAAAACGTATCTCTTCATCTTGTCTGCATTGAAATGAATCATGGGAAATGTAGTTTCTGATGTTTATTAGCTATTGCTACTGTAAAACCATGCGATTAAGCAAAGAAACTCGCGATTCGATATATTCTGACAGCCCACGATATTATTGTGAGACTTTTTTTACGATATGATATCACAATATTTTGGTTATTGTTACATCTCTATCATTTACCAGTGTTGCTTTAAAAAGCTCAGTGTAGAGTGAATGAATTATGACTAGAGAGCAAATGTAATACTTTATTTATTTAGTTACTGGTACTTATTTTTTCAAAATGTGTTTATTCAACTCATACAGAAATTGTACAAAATTTACTTTACATCTCAAAAAAATAAAACTAATTATAAAGCCATATGCACACACAAAAAGAAACAAAACAAAAACAAAACACAGAAACACTCTCAAACTTAAAACTTGGTGTTGTCACAAAATATTTCAAACTCAATGCTGATACTAAAGAAGAGACTTTATACACATTTTGATACTTCAATTATATAATTTTTTTAGACAACAGAACGCACATTTCAACTCAAAATAATACTTTTTTTGTCCCATCTGTGTGATTCTTTTTCAGTATCAGTATTTCTTTGTTTCAATACTAGTACTTCAGTATTGATTAGTATCTGAGTATCGATACTTTAGACTAGGCCTGCACAATACTATATATACCACAAAAGTATCAATACTGCAGTTTTGGCTGGCGCAATAATCAGTATCGGAACAAAGTAAACTCTGACAGAAATGGTTGTTTTTTTGTTTTTTTTTTAATGAAAATGTGTATTTTTAAAAGATAAAGGTCGAGGTTATTTATATTACTTACTATGCCTACATCTATGTCTATGCCGAAGTTTTTACTTTTGACAATCTGACTAAAATACTGTAAATAATGTCGATATCACTGCATTTAACAGCCTCACCGTGTACTTCACTCTACACTCTACACTAGTTGCTCACCAAGGGAATTCTCAGTTATATTAATGAATGATGATGATGCCTTGTCTTTGTACACTAATAAATGAATAATTGTTTAGAGTTTAGAGTTTATAGACTTCTAAATGTACCCATCTATGGCTTGCCGTGGCTCTTATATGTAGAACATTTCTAAAACGAGTAGCTCTCTGGTATTTTTGTTTGGTAAAAGTAGCTCACCAAAGGAAAAATGTTGGAGACCCCCTGGTGTAGCTCTTTTGGTTTGGGTGTGATGGAGGGAGGGGTTAGAGGAGGGAGGGGCTAGCGGTGGTGCAGACAGACGACATTTGGATGGAGTAGATGAGATAGTTCAGTGTGAGCCCCCAGCCTGCTCCCACACCACGGAGCCCCCAGCCTGACGCCCACACCTTAACGCCCTCTCTCTCTCCTCTCTCTCTCTCTCTCACGCCTCTCTTCTCTCTCTCTCTCTCTCTCTCTCTCTCTCTCTCTCTCTCTCTCTCTCTCTCTCTCTCTCTCTCTCTCTCTCTCTCTCTCTCTCTCTCTCTCTCTCTCTCTCTCTCTCTCTCTCTCTCTCTCCTCCTCTCTCTCTCTCTCTCTCTCTCTCTCTCTCTCTCTCTCTCTCCTCTCTCTCTCTCTCTCTCTCTCTCTCTCTCTCTCTCTCTCTCTCTCTCTCTCTCTCTCTCTCTCTCTCTCTCTCTCTCTCTCTCTCTCTCCTCTCTCTCTCTCTCTCTCTCTCTCTCTCTCTCTCTCTCTCTCTCTCTCTCTCTCTCTCTCTCTCTCTCTCTCTCTCTCTCTCTCTCTCTCTCTCTCTCTCTCTCTCTCTCTCTCTCTCTCTCTCTCTCTCTCTCTCTCTCTCTCTCTCTCTCTCTCTCTCTCTCTCTCTCTCTCTCTCTCTCTCTCTCTCTCTCTCTCTCTCTCTCTCTCCTCTCTCTCTCTCTCTCTCTCTCTCTCTCTCTCTCTCTCTCTCTCTCTCTCTCTCTCTCTCTCTCTCTCTCTCTCTCTCTCTCTCTCTAGTCTCTCTCTCTCTCTCTCTCTCTGAACTGTATTAAAGGGCCCATATGACACTGTTTCCTGATCTATGTTCTAATGTTGTTTCCTCATCACAAACAGACCTGGAGTTGTCTTTTGTTTCATTCACACATGTCTGAGAAGTGTCAATTCCAAGACTGAAGTTATTCAAATGAGGGATGTAACAATACATAAAAATCATGGTTTGGCGCATACCTCAGTTTTGAGGTCACGATTCAATTCATTTTCAGTTCAGTTTGGGAACAAAGTACAAACCATTTGCTTGTTGTTTATTTGTGTTTTTATTAAACCAGCCATGTCCAAACTACGGCCCGTGGGCCAAATGCGGCCCTTGGACAAATTTTTCTTGGCCCTCAGGCTGCCAGATAACTTGGTCCAAATTACTTTACATCAATTAAAAATTAACATTTTAAGCAAGTTTTTTTGAAAACCTACCTTGATAAAGCCAATATTTAATATTTGTTGTGTGGTTTTAAGGATCTTAGCATGAATAAAGACTGATAGCTCATTCTAACGTGTTAAACGTGCACATATTTCAATTATTCACTGTATTGAGCACCAGTCTACGGCCCTCGATCACCCCTCTACTTCATCTGTGTTTAGATATGTGGCCCTTGATGAAAAAAGTTTGGACACCTATTTAATAATTAAACCAACAATTTGTTTTAACATTATACAAACTGGAAAATAAAATAAATGCAAAGTGCTGCTTGGTAATTCTTATAAGTTAAATAAAAATATTCCCAAATAAACAACAAATACATAAAATATTATAAAAAATGAATTCCTTGTAAACAGTAAACAAAAGTTTTTAAAAAGTAAAGTGCAGCATGAACAGTTCCAGCATGAACTTTTATTCAATTATCATACCTTTGGCCAGAAAAAACAACTTGTCCACAGTGTCTGCAGTAAGAGCACATCTGCTGCAGTTACAACGTCCCCAGTGGTTGAAAATACACTTTCTATAGGGACAGAGGTCGTCGGTATTGGGAGGAGATTCTGTGCTGGCAAGAGGTGAAACTGAACACCGCGGCGTGATGACTGTAGTTTTGTGAGGATTCACGTGGGTTGGAGGGATGTAGTCAAGGCGGCCGCTCTATAAAACTACATTAGCCTTCCATGTAGCTGCACATGTAGTGGTTGAATGTAAACACACACAAATTGCGGGAATTCACTCGGGCACAGCCCTGCACTGAACCGAATGTCCCGTACTGAAACGGTTCAGCACAAATACATGTACCATTACACCCCAAATTGCTATATTACTACATGACATCACAACGTGGAACTGAGTGTTTTCTAAATATAGAGTTTGTGTGTTAAACATGTGTGAATGAAACAAAACCCAACTCCAGCTGTTTGTGATGAGGAAACATTAGAACATAGATCAGAAAATAACATAATATGGGCCCTATAACACACAGAAAACACTCTGTTCCACCTTGTGATGTCATGTGGTAATACAGGAAGCGCTCCACTGTGTTTTTAAACACCATACTCCCTGATATTGCTGCGCTCTACTAAACAAATAAACAAAAAGTAAAATGTAGCTGTTAATTTGAAAACTCCCGCTTCATGACATCACAACTCCAAGTATGTTTTAGATGAGGGAACATTCTAACATGGATTAAAGAAGAGTCCATTTTGTGTTATATTAGGGGTGTCAAATTATCGTGTTAATTGCGATTAATTAATTACAGTCACATTTAGCTCTTTATGTTTTTTAATCGCGTTAATCTTATTTTAAATCTCTAACTTTACTGTTTCTGTATGCGAGTTGCCTTATTATAAAATCTATTTTTATGTGTTGTTAGGACACAGTCTCGCACTGTGCAGTCCTGCTCCGCTCGCTCCCGCAAAGAATTGTAGCCTAATTTTCATTCCTGTTCTTGCCGCATCTGCGATAAACCTGCACACGTCTGATCTGAAAACATCACAACACAGACACAGAACAGACTCACCTTCAGCATCAACATCCCTCTGTCACAGAGAGAACAACTATATTCCACTGAGTCATGTCCTTTAGTAGAAGCTGAACCACATCAGGACACAAGAGCTTTTTTTTT